CATCCATCCACTTCGCCCTGTAGGGGTTGGGTTCAACCCAAATTCACTTTATTCTGGAGATTTCAAACAAAAACTCATTTTGAAATTTGAAATGTGGTGCATTGCTCTTCCTCAAAACGATGAGAAGGAAACGTGTAATTCAGGGGTGTCCAGCCTTTTGGCATCTCTGGGGGACACTGGAAAAAGAAGAGTTATCTTGGGCGACACATTAAGTACACAAACACTAATGAAAACTGATGAGCAAAAGAAAGGTTTCAAGTAAATTTACGATTTTGTGTTGGGCTGCATCCCTAGCCATCCTGGGCCGTGAGCTGGACACCCCTGACCCACAGCCATCTCAACAGATGATACAAACCATAGATATCACACATGCTATTCCCCATTTCCCGTAGTGTGTTGGCATGTATTCACTTTGTCTTTCCTAAGCAAGATTACTATAAACTAGATTTTAGTTTTTGCTCTATTGTTCTTCAATATGAAAAAAAATCATTTCATTTTCAGCTCAGTAGACATTCCCAGAAACCGTTGTAGAAAAGTGGATGTTTTCACATAATAGCATGCAGCTCAAGGAATAATTTGAGCAAAGAAGAATGTTTGGGGTTGGTCTTGCAGAGTCAGAGAAAGAGCTGAATTCATTCCTAACCTCCCCAGGCCTTGTCATGACTGTTTTCCTAGAGATGGTTCTCCAGTGACACCATACTTCCTAATGGTAAGAAACAGATTGAACTCACTTCTGTCATTGCCTCCCTCTCACAATCAATTTTTGCAATCTCATAGCCTGGAGTCTGAGTTTTTCTTGCAAGAGTTAGATAAAACTGTAGGCAAACCCAAAAATGTTTTCTTAATTTTAATTCTTCCTTCAGAGTTATGTCATAAGTGGGGCTACTGACACATAAGGGCCTGCCCGCTGCAAACCATCACCAGTCACATACTGGACAGTTCGTCCCAGAGCACTTCATTGTCTAGACACAGAATGAGTCTTCTTCCTGAAGCTGGACTCAGAGAATGAAGGACTATTCCCTGACACTGAAGTGGTAAGAAAGCTGGAATATATTGGTAATGCATTTGACTATGCCATGGATCTTTCTCTCGTGGTCTTCTAGAGTTTGAGGAGTCCTGCACTTGTTCAGGATAGGACTTGTGGGGAGGAACCTTGGTGTTGGAGGATGGTTTCCTTGAATCGTAGTCTGTTGACAAATTTAGGGGAGTGTTGGAGACCTCTCTAAACCTAGCAGCCAGCCATTCCTGCAGAACTACCTTGTCCAAGTGTTGCAGTTCCTGCTGCTCCAGTAGATGGCGCCTCTAACTCTCATATTGCCTTAGCTTATAAATAGCTTTTTCCATTACTCATTTAAGTATTTTTCCCTAGACTTTTAAATAATCTTGCATGTTGTTGATTATTTTGATCCTCTTGATTCTCTTAGAAAAATGTAAAAGTGGTTTTATAGATCAGAAGATCATAAATGCAAAAAGTAGACTGACAAAGCAAGTCTTACTGCAATGTCCTATGGAAGGAACCACAAATGAACTAGGCATGAAAACAGGTACAGAAACGTGGAATAGAAAAGTGAGTTTCCAGCCCTGACTGGTGCAGCTCAGTGGATTTAGCGTGGGCCTGTGAACCAAAGGGTCGTGGTTCAATTCCCAGTCAGGGCACATGCCTGGGTTGCAGGTCAGTCCCCAGCAGGGAACCCATGAGAGGCAACCATACATTGATATTTCTCTCCTTCTCTCCTTCCCTTCCTCTCTAAAGGTAAATAAATAAAATCTTTTAAAAAAAAGAAAAGAAAAGTGAGTTTCCATTCAAAATTTCTTCTTTTTCTCTCTAGACACTTCTAGTGTACTTTGTACGTTGAGAACTTCTACAGCTGAAGATTTTCCTTTGAGAAGAAAATCAACTCATTTTTTATTTGTAGATACTGGACACATTGATAGACCTATCCATTCCCCACAGGAAACCATCACTACAAGAAGCAGGCAAAACTGAGAAAAATGATGCAGGCCTTACTAGTTTTGAGAGACACTGCAGCACTAATGGGCAATTTAAATACCGTCTGGCAAGTGCTGGGGGGGAAATAGGAACTACAGGAGCATCTAGGAGGGGACCAGAGGCCCTGAACCAAGAAGGAGCACCTGGACTAATTGAAGGAAATCTCTGAAGGAGCTGCAAGTTGCAGAACTAGGGGAGGCTTGTTGATGGGGTAACATTTAAACTGAGAGCCGAAGGAGGGGCAGGAACCAGCCAAGCAGGGGTAGATGGGAACGTGGGTGCTTGTCCCAGGGAGAGGAGTGGGGGCAGCAGTTGCTTAGGTCTTGGGGAGAGACAGCAAGGCCTGTTTCAGGGAAAGCTTAAGATCCGTGTCTTGAGGGTACTTTACAAAAGTCCCTGAGAGGCTCTTTGCCTTTTTTTCATGACATAGACCCCTTTGGGAGCTTGGTGAAGCCTATGGGTCCCTTCTCAGAATATTGTTTATTTTTTAACTTTTTTAGAATATTGTTTTGAAATAAATGTGTTGGAATACAAAGGCAATCCATTATGTTGGAATACAGTTATCAAAATATGTTTTAAAAGCTGTCATATAATAATATAATAATGTATGTACTTCTTTATGAATGAATGACATTATAAAATCTAATGACAGGTCTAATAACTACCATTATTTTGAAGTATTGATGAGCATAAAGCAACAATGATAATGTGATATAAAAATATCCATGATTTATATTGGTGACAAAAATCACAGGTAAGGTTAATATTACTGTGATTCGTTGCTTATCTTTATTGAAGGAAGTGCTTTCAATTAGATTAGTGAAAATAAAGATGCACTTTTCTCCCAACCAAATAACCAATTAAATGCTATCATCCAGGGTCGTTTGGGTGTGTGGAACCCGAGTAGAAACCCTTCCTCACAGCAGGGTAGTGAATGGATTGGAAAGCAAGGCTGAAGACAGGTGCCATGGTGATTCCTAGCCCTCAACTCAGGGAGGTGTCAGTATTCCCAAGAGATATAAATTTCAGAGGGAGGAGTGGAGCAGGCCAAGCAAGGGCTATTTATTGCTTTCCACCCTCAGTGCTGCAAACCTTGAAGAACCTGCCAGGTGCCAGGTTCTGCGGTACCATGCTAGGTGGAGAGAACCTGAAAACCCACTGATGAGCCAGCCCTTCTTACTAATTGCCAGCATGGGATAGGATGGTGGTTAAGAGTCACCCGAGTTGACAGACTTGGGTTAGTTACACTGCCCTTCCAAAAATAAGAGAAGCTGTCTAACCTTGGGCAAGTTTATCATCCAGTGTCCTCATCTGTGAAATGGAATAATAAAAAATGTCTCCGATGATCATAGTGTTACGGTGAATCAAAGTGATGTAATTCATTCTGATGCCTGTAGATAAATACTGGATAAATAAAAGCTGTTACATGTGAGTTGAATAAATCTGTCTGATGACCTTTCAAGAGAGGAATCTCTCTATTCTTTTTCTGCTTCCAGTGCCTCCAGCTCTGCTTAAATACAAGAGAGGATTTAACACTTTGTCCTTTAGGAGAAGCCATATTTCAGGTCTTTGGTCTCTGGCTTCTAGACGTGCACTACCAAGGTTACACGTGTTATCAACATCGTTTTACTTTCCCAGTGCATATTTTTCTTGAGCACCTGCAGCCTGCTGGGATCTGGACGACAACCCTGAACACTCTGTGTCTCCAGGTAGCTTTTGAAGTGAAACCTGATTTTTCACAGTAAGGACAGGTATTAAAAACACTGGGGTGAGAGTCCACAATAATTGAAGCCGTTCAATCAAGAGCTAGGTTTAAAAAAAAAAAAATCAAGCGGTTAGTTAATATGGAGCAGACCAACATTTGGCAATAAATCCTAGAATTCTCTGCACTTGTTTACTTCATATAAAAAGAAATTAAATCCAGTGTAGCCATTTTCTGATTCCCAGAAAACGCCTTTCTCTAGAACATGGTCAGTTTGGGGGATTCTTCCCTTAAAAATGTGATGTTTGATTTCAAAACACGCACCACGGTTGTACGTGGTTCCCAACCGTACTAAGTAGATTCTCTAGTCTGTGGTCTTTGGATCGGCGATAATTGCCTGGACAGGTGCTATGGCTTCATTCATTTTTTTGTCAATGCAGCAATCGCAGAATTTCAGCAGTTCATTAAAAACCGCATCTCCTGTGTCAAAACAAAGGATATGCTTTTCTAAAGCAACAGGCAACCCCTCTTTTGTTTGATTTGCTTTAGCAACTGCATCCAATATTAGGCGCTCACGACGCTCGGTCTGAAGATGGTTAGTGAAAACCACTACACCAGCGTTAAAATCAGGATCATTTACATCCAAATTGATCAGTGGCTCTGCATTTTTAGATGCACCGTTGGCATTCCTTCCCTTTTCCTTATCTGTGAGGTCCGAACGCTCCCCAAACCGTCTTTTAAATATCTCAGGCCTGAGACTAGTGGTATAAGAGATCAGCGACCAGTAACCCACAACTGAAGGCTATTAAATTATTTCGTTTCCGCAAATAAACTTATTGATCTGTTGAAATCTGAAGCAAAACTTAACGTCGACGAGGATGGGATTCGAACCCACGCGTGCAGAGCACAATGGATTAGCAGTCCATCGCCTTAACCACTCGGCCACCTCGTCCCAGAAGTCTAGCTCTCCTTGGTAGCTATAGGGAGTAATACCAGGAAGGATGTGACGCAATAGTATGGCGGCTGCCATTTTGTACGGAAGCAAAACGCTAATGCTCTTTTTTCACAGCAAGTAATCCAAAGAAAATGGCTGCTCCCATGGTATGGGGGATCTCAGTGGGTAAAACAAAAGAAAATTCGGTAGAAAATGAGAAAATTGAAGGATATAAATTGGCATACAGGCTGGAAAGGAAGCTGGATTAAAGGAGTCTTCCGAACGGGATCCCTCTGGCGTCTAAGGGGAGGAGCCGACGCTTAGAGCGTCTTTGCGCTTGCGCGTCATCTAGGCGGTTAGATTTGAATACTGCACGGAGGCAGTCTGGGCGCTGTGAGGTGACGGGGATAGGCGGTGGTCTGCTACCTCTTTGAGGACGGCAGACCCCCCCAAACAAGTCAGAGGAGGAAGCTACGGCTGGTAAAGAAAATGATCCTTTCGTTCTGGGCTCCGGGGGTGGGGGTGCTTTAGGTTTAGTCTGAGTGCTCTGAAACGTCGTGGTGGAAGGTGAGGGACGCTCCGTCAGCCAGGCGGCCCAGGAAAGCTCTGGGCTCAGAGCGAGGCTCCTTCCTTTCCTCACCTGGGTCTGGTTTGCACTTTGTGCCGCCTTCCCTCCTACCGAGCACTTCCTTCAACACCTGGGCCCCCTGGGCCGGCTCGGCTGGTGCATCCGCGCCTCCCTCGGCCACCCGGTCCGCGGCGCCCTGCTGTCTTGTGTCCGCTTCCCCGGATTCTTCCTTGCACCCCTGCAGCTCTTCCCTGGGAGCTCTCGGCTGTTTGTATTTCTGACTCAATCTTTTCTTAGATATAAATGAAGTGACAGCAATAAGTGATTTTAAACTCTCGGCTTGTCGTGGTTTCTTTACAGTGTTGGGAGTGCTAGCAGCACTGAACAGACTCGGGGTTTTGCAGGTAAAGTAACACTAGGAAATAAGCCAGTATTAGTACGCTACAAACGAGTTTTTATAAATCTTCCTCTGTTCATTATTACCTCAGAGTTAAAGCCCCTTTCCTTACTGTTTATCCCAATACTAGAGTTTAAGAAAAAAGCTCTTAAAAAATTGCTGATTCGAATTTTAAAGATAGGGATGTCAAAGAAGACTAAGCAGAGCTTGCTTTAGGTATTAAGATGAAAGTCGTCACTTCCCTTGAATTGGGTCGGTCGAATTCCTCAGATATTTATTGGGTTCATTGCTGTCTTATGCTACTGCTAGGACCAGATGACTCAGAGTCCCTGATCTAAAAGTGTTTACAGCCCAGAAAGGGAGGTAATGTACCCAAATTACTATAATACAAGACGATTTAAAGGATTGTAAGACATTTTAAAGCTGTGTGGGAGCACAAAGAAGGAAGACCTCATTTGAGACCTCTAACAATGGAGACTGCAGGAGGCTTCCTTGAGAAAGTGGCATTTGAAGTGTAACTTGAAGGGAAGAATGATTTACAGAGGTAAATGTAAGATTTTGCTAATTGAAGGTTGTGTTCAAAGAACTATAATTCTTGATTATGTGATGGCTGGAAATGTTTATAAGATGTCAAAGAGATTAAAAGTGAGTAAAAATGTTTGGAGTGGTAATAATGATGTGTTTGATGATAAATGAACTGTGTTAAAAACTCTGAATACTGACAGGACAGCTGTCCTAGAAAACTTCCAGTGACAGTGGTAATGTTTTATATCTATACTGTTTAGCTCAGTACTCATCAGTCACATGGGACTATTAAGCACCTGAAATGGGGCTATGGCGACTGAAAAATGGAATTTTATTACAATTAATTTAAGCTTAAATAGATACTGTATAGGACAGCACCAGTCTAGAGCATATATCAGTGGATACTGTGGAACATATTAACTCTTTTATTGGTAGTGTAAAAAGAGCCATTATGTAAATATTTCAGGCTGCATGGTCACTGGCGTGGTCTCTGTCATATATTCTTCTTTATTTGTTGTTGTGTTTTATTTTCTGCCACCCATTTAGAATGTAAATAACTCACTTTTAAGGACTCATTTAGTCCAGTAGCCATAGTTTGCAGACCTCTGGACTAGTAGTCTAGTCCACTAGTAGTTCCCAAACTGTCTTGGTTCGTGGTATCCTTAGGCTAAAAGAAATAACTAAGGAATCTATTTAGTTAGGTCAAAACAACTTTAGAAGTTGTTACTAAGTTGAAATGAATTTATGCCTTAACCACATAGTAGCCATTTAAAAAATAATATGCATCTATTGAAGGAAAAGATTTTAATTTTATTCTTAATAATCACAATTATATACTAACTGGATATCTGTGCCTGTTGAACACTGCACAACTTCTCAAGTCTTCGAATCAGATTGGATGTTCATTTTGTGCTATATTACTTAAAAGAACTGCTTTATATTGCAGCATCTGCCAAAGACCCAGCTTTGCAATAATCTGTTGTCAAAACTAATGTAATGCAAATGGATGCTATTTTGAACAAGTAGTTAATACAGTGCCTGACCAATGTTGAGAACTGCTGTTTCTCACAAACATTTAAAATATCTCAGGAGACCTCTGTGAATATGCTATAGTATCCCTGGTTTCCAGGTGCAGTTTCAGAACCAATCAATATCAACCAATGTGGCAATGATCAAGAGTTCAACCATAACAGCATTTATAAATGAGGCTTAACATGGGGATCTGGGCTCTCCTATTTCTGTTAAAGTTGGAACTTACAGTTATGTAATATATAAAACATTTTGAAAAGAAGACTTTAATAATTTTTTAATTTTATCACTTAATTAAGTGCCAGCTAGTCTTGTAGGTTAGTCAGGAATGCTGCTTGATGAGGATTTCAAACAGTAAAAATGTTCAGGTGGTTCTGATTTGATAGTATTTAATATCATTATTTGTGAATTTGAATATCACTGAATTTGAAAATGTTACCAAAAGAAGAAAAATTGTTCACAACAGTGATCACAAAGATAACTTTAAAGAATTGTTTTGGTGGGGAGGGGTGGGGGAGGAAAGGCAGAAAACTGTACTTAAACAACAATTAAAAACATTGTTTCTTAATTACTTATTCAGCAAATGAGTACTGTGCTAGGTTCTCAGACTGTAACAGTAAACATAAGAGACACCAGCCCTATTCTCATAGTTTACTGCTGGGACAAGAGTAGTCTGGGGAGATAACAGGAATAATTAATTTACAAATCATACTTTTAAATTACAGAATGATAATGTTACAAAGGAGACAAAGAGTGCTTTTTTTGCCAAGAAAATATAAATTCAGATATAAATTCAATGACGCAGGAAAGAACTTTGTGTGTGCAAGAATAGAAATGCTAGTGTGGCTTGCATAGTGAGTGAGGAAGACAAGGGTAAGAGATGCAGTGTGAAGTCTGAGAGACAAACAGGGACAGGATCTTGTAGAGCTTTGTTAGGTCCTGGTGAAGAGTTTATCTCAGTACAATGGGAAGCTATTGAAGTGTTTTAAGTAGAAGAATATCTAAAATGTGATTTATGTTTAAGAAGATAACTCCCTAGTGTGTGGGAAAAGGACCTGGGAGTAGAGGGGATAAGAGTGAAAGCAGGTACACCAGTAAGGTGGATATTGCAATATTGTACATGAGAGATAATGGTAGCTTGAACTATGGTGATGGTACTAGAGATAGAAGTGAATGGATTTGGGGTATACGAGGTCTGTCCAGAAGGTATTCAGCCATGTAATATGAAAAATAGAGACATTTATTGAAGAAGATACAAGAAGCATTGTGCATGGGACAATGATGTCTCAGTCCCTTTTGAAGTAGGCACCTAGGGACTTCACACAGCTCTCCCAGTCACTTTCAGCTGCCCTGTCATATTTTCTTGAATCTCATCCATGGTCTGAAATCTCTTCCCTTTCAAAGGTGATTTTAGTTTTGGGAAAAGCCAGAAGTCACAGGGCACCAAATCTGGGCTGTAGAGGGGGCTGAGTCCCCTGCGTGATTTGATGTTTCACCAAAAGCTCTGATTGAGACATGATACATGAGCAGGTATGTTGTCATGATGAAGCTGCCAATCACTGGTTGTCCATAGGTGTGGCCTTCTGAATCATCTGAATAGTTTCTGTGGAGGAATGTATAAACTTAACACAAAATTTGATGTAGTTTTGTTGCCGTTTGCTCCGTCATTTTGAATGTGAGACCACACAGTACACATGCTCACTCAACAGCGTCTGCTGCCACCACTAACTAGTACAGTGAAGTTGTCATTGTTCATGTATGTGCACATGAACTCCAGTCCACTCTCCTTGGCTGCCAGTTTACATCAATGTTGTACAAACCATTCTCGTTATATTAACAATGGCTAGACTTTTTCTGGACAGACCATGTGTAATGGAAATTGAATACTAAGACTTGATAATGGTTTGGACAAGTGTAAATAGCTGTCATACTTGTTTGATCTCAAAGGGAAAGTTTTCCACGTTTTACCATTAAGTCAATTGTTGCTGTTGTTTTTTTAAATAGATATTGTTTGTTAGATTAAGGAATTAACTTTCTATTTCTATTTGCTAAGTTTTTCTTTTGTTTTAAGCATAAAATGGTGTTAAAGTTCATCAAGCTTTTTTTCTCATCTGTTGAGGTGATCATATGATTTTTCCATTTTTATCTGTTAGTATGATTAATTGTACAATTTTCTAATGTTAAGCCAATTTTGCATTTTTGGAATAAAATAAACATGGTCATGATATATATCCTTTTTACAAATTGCTGGCTCCTTTTTGCTATTTAGGATTTTTATATTTATGGCAGTGAAATTGATGTGTATTTTTTTCTTGTACTGTATTTATCTGGGTGTGGTGGGTAGAGTGAATGTGTATGTTAGATGGAGGTGGTGGCAAGGAAAGAGCTTTTTTAATATACAAAATAATTAGCTTAACGTAGTAAAGTGGCTGCTTTTAGGAAGGAGGAAATTGAAGATATTTTAAAAAACCAATCTTGTAAAATCAACTTCTTACACTATGGACAGACATTTTAAAATATTGCTTTAAGTAGATGTGGGTGTTACCTGTGAACAGGAGATAAGTGAAAACAGTGAGAGACTGAGAGTGACGGAGGACAAAAGGATAGGGTTAGAGATCAAATCCTAGAAGATGTCCATCATCTTTTTGTTTCTTTCTTTCTTTCTTTAGATGTCCATCAGACTTTTGTTTCAGCTTGAGCTTCAGTTTCATTATGAAAAATCATTTATTGCCTAGCCCTGGCTCTTGTGGCTCAGTGGATTGAGCACAGGCCTGTGAACCAAAAGGTCACCAGTTCAATTCCCAGTCAGGGCACATGCCTGGGTTGTGGGCCAGGTCCCCAGTAGGCAACTGCACATTGATGTTTCTCTCCCTCGTTCTCCCTCCCTTCCCCTCTGTCTAAAAATTAAATAAAATAAAAATAATTATTTCCTAATTTGTTTTTTATATATGATGAAAGCATGTAAAATAAGATATCTTTTAAATGGTGTTTTTACTTATTGCTAAAAAGAAGAATATTGATTTTAACAGTTTGAGTAAATGGTATTAATTTAGTGTTGTGGTAGAAATGCTAATATCGTTGAGTCAAATCTCTAGTTTTTTTTTTTTTTTTTGAAATGGAAGTTTTTCTTACCCAGGGTGAGGTTCAAAAGTTAATGCCTAAAGTAAAAATCTTGTATAGTAATGGGTAGGTAGGAACTAAGACCAACTGAGGTTTTACCTTTTGTTTTACACTTTCTCCAAGACAAACACTCATTGAATGGAATTGTAAGTGTAACCAGCTGCACTATTTAAAATGTTATTATTTTTTTAAATTTTAGAGGGGAAAGAAGGGAGAAAGAGGGAAAGAAACATCAGTGTGCAGTTGTCTCTCATGCGCCCCCCACTGAGGGCCCGACTTGACTAGCAACCCAGGCACGTGCCCTGACTGGGAATTGAACCGGTGACCCTCTGGTTTGCAGGTGGGTGCTCAGTCCACTGAGCCACACAAGCCAGGGCTAAAATGTTATTTTTGTTTCTGAAAATAAACAAAATATTTTTGCTGAGTACTTATAGTTGAGTTTTGGTAAGATAAGTATGCATATTATGCAAATCCACTGTTTTGATACCTAATTGACTTCATTTTGGGATTCACTTATTATGTAATCCATAAAACTAGGGCAAATTTTTGTTTTAACCACTAAAGCTCATATCATCCCATTCATTGTTAATCACTGATTTTATCTTAAACATGAGAATTTTCCAGGAATATTGACCGTATCAGAGTACGTAGTTTGAACTCCTCAAAATTTCTTGTTTTTTAGCCCCATAGTATAGCTTTCCTTCCTTTTTTTTTTTTTTTTTGGTATTCCCTCTGAAAATAATACTGAAGTCAAAATTCTGCTCTTAATCTCTTCATGGATTGTACTTTTTCTTCCTGCTTTCTCAACTTTCTGTTATTGTGTTTGTTACAGAAAAGGTTATCTTCAAAAATGGATGCGATGTCTTCAGAGACTAATGACAAAAAGTAAGTTCATGCAATACCTCAAAAACATGTTTAACTTTATCAGAGAAAAGATACTTCTTCAACTAGTAAGACCTATTGACTTTGTAACATTTCCTTCTTTTACCCTGAAAGATTTCAAAAGTTATCAATAGGTTTTCCTTGCCATATCTTTATATAAGCTCATCTAGATTCAAAGCTAAGAGAGACTTTAGAGACCAGGTCTCATCTCTTCAATTTAAGGATGAGAAAATTGAGGCACAAGGAAATGAAATGATTTGTCTAAAATTGGCATTACAGACTGGTGGCCTGGTTATAATCAGAGACATAATTATTTTCCTAAGCCATGATTTTTAATTTTTGAACTAGTTGCCAAATCTCAAAGTCTCAAGAGTTCGTATAACAATTAGATTTTGAGCTTTCCATTGTAGTCTCCACTCCACCTATTTTTCTTGCACTTACTAAAAGTATGTATGTAGCCTCCACAGGCATTTAAATTTTCAAAACCTGACCTAATAATCACACAGTAGTAAAACCAGAGGTAGAGCCTTTTGTTTTATAGCCCATTTATCTTATAATTTTACTTCTGTAAATATTTTAAATTATGTTGTAGTGATTGTGTTTTAAGAGATGGTATTATAGTAAACAATTTGTATTTTAAAATACTAACTTTCTAAATATTGAATTTAAAGTGTTATAAATTTTGCTGAATAAAAGTGGTGTTAAGTGAAAGTGATAGTCACTTAAAAGCATGTAAAGGATGCTGTGGGCTTTTGAAAATTGTCCTTTTTTAGTGTATAAGTAATTTTTTTTCCTCTTTCAGTGACCATATAGAGAGACCTGTTAGAAGACGACATTCCTCAGTAAGAAACAGTTATTTAAGTTAATTGTTAATGTTTTTTGAATGACTATATACAACAGTAATTTTGACTGTGGCATCATCATCCCACCCCCACTGACTTCTATTGCTCCTTGGATAATGACTCAAATATTTAACCTGGTTACACAATTCTATAAATATCTTTAAATGTGTATTTTATTATCAATATTTATTAATTTGTTGTTAATTTTATGAATTTTATGCTATATATATCATACATCAATAAAGTTGTTTAAAAATATATTTAGCCCTGGCCTGGTGGGTCAGTTGGTTGGAGTGTCTTCCCATACACCAAAAGATTGTAAGTTGCTCCCTGGTCAGGGCACATACCTAGGTTGCTGGTTCATCCAGGGTCAGGGCTGGGCATCCCAGGAGGCAACATTAGAAGTTTCTCTTTCACATCACTATGTCTCTCTCTCTCTCCCAGTGCCCCTCCCTCCCTCTCCATTCCTGTCTCTCTAAAATCAATAAATATATCCTCAAGTGAGGATTTTAAAAAATGAAAATATATACATACACATACTGGTGTACAAAGCTGTAGCAAGACAGAAAACATTTCAACTGAAACTGATTTGAGGACAAAATTTATTGGTTGTGAAATTTAAAAACCAAAGATAGGAATGACTTTATTTTATTTATTTTTATTTTTGCAAATATAAGAATGACTTTAGGTACAACTTACCACGGGTTCCAACAATATCATCAGTAGTAGGATTTCTTTTCACTTTTTCTACTCTGACTGCTTTCTACTTTCTCTGGGTAATCTCCATTACTAGACAGGCTCTTTGGTTACTACGGTATATCTAGCTTTTCCAACTTCCAAGTTCAAGTCCTACATGAAAAATAGTATCTGTTTTCTCAACAATCAAATAAACAAAAAAATAGCCCTGACCAATATGGCTCAGTTGGTAGGGCATTGTCCAGCAAAGTGAAAGGTTGCTAGTTCCATCCCTGGTCAGGATACTTGCCTGGGTTGCAGGTTCCAGTGAGATACAGAAGAGAAGCAGTGGGTCAGTGCTTCTAACAATGATGTTTCTCTCCCTCTCTTCCTCCTTCCCCTCTCTCTAAAAAAATAAATATTTTTTAAAAACAACTCAGGATTGAATCATTTGACTTGATTATCTCAATTTGAGTCAAGTTCTCATTCCTGAACCAATCACTGTTGCTGAGGGACTATCATGTGCAGATTGTTCTAGACCAGGGCTACATATTGGGAATGTAGCCCTAGGTTGGGATGGAGCTTCATTCAGACCACGTGGGATCAGAGGTGACAAAATAATTGGGGAAGGTGGGCAGGGAGGGAGAAGGGAATAAATAAAAATTATTTAAACGAGCCACAAAGGATAGCGCTGTACACTACGAATTTGAGAAACTTGAGAGGTTTTTACAGGAATTTTAGCATCTCTACCTTTCTACTCATGGTATAACTTGAAATAAACTGATTATTAATAGATATCCCATATTTTCTTTGATAAATCTCATACTTCTAGATTTTGAAACCTCCACGGAGTCCTCTTCGGGATATCAGAGATGGGAATGAAATAGTTCAGGTAAGTTTCTAATGCAAATGTTTCACAGATGATTGTTTTCATCGGTTAACAATATTAAGAGAGCATCATAAATGATTCTCAATTAAATATGAACAAGTAAGCATCCAGTGGCCTTCACATTAAAATCCCAACAACTTGAATAAGCTGGAACCCATAATTTTTAACCCCCATTTACTTTGCATCCTCCTTTTTTGCCACTCCCACATATGTATCTCACCATTTGGAATTGCTTACAGTTACCCAAACAAGACATGAACTGTCAAACCTGCAAGTATTTGCATATATTTCCTCTGACTAAATGGCTAGTCCTCCATTCTTTTCTTTTCTTCCAAAATTTTTTCAAACATACTTTTCAGTTGAAAGAATTTTACAGTGAAAGCTCATATAGTCCTCACCTAGTTTGTACAATTAATATTTTATCATATTTTATCATAAATCTGTAGCCCTCTTTATTTGGTAATTCCTGTTTGTCTTTTAAGATTCAGCTTTGGAATCACTTATCTCAGAAAAATTATCCCTAAACCTTCTATTGTAATTGTCTACTAATGTACGTTGTTCTAAATTGAGAGATCCCTGAGGGCAGGAACTTTACCATGTATTTTTTAAATTATTGTACTCATTGCATAATGGCTTTTAGTACATTCTGTTTATTAATGCAGCATTTTAGAGAACATACAATTCTGAGTGCTCATTCTACTTTGGTCTTTCTCATCTGTGTTTCTTATGGTATTTTACTTTCACTTTTTCTTTTTTTTTAATAATAGTTTATGTTCAATATTATTTTGAGTTAGTTTCAGGTGTAGAGCATGGTGAGCAGATAATCATAAACTTCACAAAGTGCTCCTCCCGATATTTTCATTGCTTACCTGGCACCAAAGATAGTTGTTACAATATTATTGACTATATTCCCTTGCTGTATTTTACATCCTGTGACTGTTTTGTAACTATCAATTTGTACTTCTTAATCCCTTCTTCTTTTTCAGCCAGTCCCTCTACCCCCATCCACTCTGGAAACTGTCAGTTTGTTCTCTGTATCTATGAGTCTGTTTCTATTTTATTTGTCTATTTTGTTCTATAGATTCCACATATAAGTGAAATCATACTTTGACTGACTTATTTTACTTAGCACAATAAGTAAAATTGGGCTAGGACTATCCATGCTGTCACAAATGGTAAAATTTCATTCTTTCTTATGGCTGAGTAATATTCCATTGCATATATGTACCATAGCTTTTTTTATCCACTCATCTGTCATGGGCTTTTGTGCTGCTTCCATATCTTAGCCATTGTAAATAATGCTGCAGTGAACATAACGGTGCATGTATTCTTTCGAATTAGTGTTTTCATGTGGAGGGTTAGCAACAAGGGAGTGGGAGAAGGAGAAGGGGGGAGAAGGTACAGAAAATAAGTAGCATAGACAGTAGATAGAAAATAGATAGGAGGGAGGGTAAGAATAGTAGAGGAAATATAGAATCTAAAGAACTTGAGACACGAGTTCATGAACTAAAGGGGGGGGAATGGTGGGGGAGGGGTGTGCAGGGTGGAGGGGAACGGGGGGCGAAATAGAACAAATGTAATGGCATAATCAATACAATTTTTTTAAAAATTTAAAAAAATTATACCATATATTTTTTGCCCTTAGGAACCTAATGCTTTGAGAAATAAGAAAAGCTCTCGTCGAGTCAGCTTTGCAGATACTATAAAGTAAGTTGAAAGAAGAAATAATTTAAAGTGACAGGTAAAGCTTTTTTGTGTGTTATACTAAATGTCGGTGCTGACTCAGATAACCCATTTCTATTAGATAAGAATTAAAGAGTTGTTATTTTAAAGATTGTTATTTAGCATTATGCGTAAAAGAAAAACATTGAAAGCATTCCCTCTAAAACAACTAAGTCTTACCACTGTTACTTAACATCGTTATTAGAGGTGCTAACGAACAAAAATAAACTAGAGAAAGAAATCAGAGTTATAAAAATTACAATAATGAGGGTAAATCTGTTATTACTTTTTGCAAATTGTATGTTATGAAAATCCAAGAATATGAATTGATATACCTCTATAGTAAATAAGTAGTAGGATATAAAATTAACATGGAAATCAACATATTTCTCTATATAAATAATAAACAGGTAGAAGATATCTTTTTTCTATTATGTTAAATTTTATTGCTATAAATATGATACTAAAAACATATGAAATGAAACCTGCCCTAGCTGGTGTGGCTCAGTGGATTGAGTGCCAGCCTGCAAACCAAAGGGTCACTGATTCAATTCCCAGTCAGGGCACGTGCCTGGGCTGCGGGCCAGGTCCCCGGTTGGGGGCGTGCTAGAGGCAAATACACATTGATGATTCTCTCCCTCTCTTTCTCCCTCCCTTCCCCGCTCTCTGAAAAATAAATAAAATCTTTAAAAAAATATATATGTATAGAAAGATCACCTGTCTCAAATAATTAAAGGCGGATTTCTTGTATATGTCAACTTTTGATTTATAAATATTTATTAATATCAACTATGTGATAGGCACTATACTGCTATATGCATTTACTACTCATTTTATTCTAACAGTCGTATCTTATTTTATGGGTAAGGAAACTGATACTTAGCTTGAGTAACTTGCCCAGGTTCCCATACTTATTAAGGAGTAGGGCTCAGACTTTGGACCACTTCACATCAAGTATTCTTAATCATTATATTATTATGTCTTCTTTTATGTCTTTTACATTATTGGTATTTTCTTTTTCCTCTGGTACCTGTATTATTTATGAAATTAGATGCATTTTTTTAGGCCCATCTGATTGATTACAGTACTTCTTTTGTTTTTCAGATTTGTTCTGTTATTAATGCTTACTTGGCTTATTCTGTTTCTTCTGCTTGTCTTATAATGAGTTTGGTTAATTAAAGACATGTTTTCAGAAGTCAGCAGGGAACTTATGGGACAGGAAGAGGTGTTTGGGATAGGATTCCTTTCTTATCTGTCCATAAAATACAGTTAGTTATATAAGAAAAATCAACATTTCTACTCAGATTTTCATTTTGGATGATAGAATGTTAATTAAAAGAAACCTTGGCAAGAGGATATTGTCTAAAACTCTCCATTTTTGAAGTGAGAATATTAAAACCTGGGAGGTGATACGACTTTCCCAAGGTAGTGTAGGTAGTGATACAGGCAGGTCAGTACCTGGTAATGATAATGTAGGTCCTCTGATTTCTAGTCGACTGCTTTTTCTACTACTTCTGATTACCTTGCCCAAGTGCTATTAAACATATTTCACCCTTTCCTTTCCTTATAAATAATCTATTTACTGTATTTATTTTTTTTAATGGCTGTGGGATATTAAAAGGAATTTCAAACCTAGCTAGGTGGCTAAATGGTTGGAGCTATACCAGAAGGTTGCGGGTTCCATATCCATTTAAGGCATGTACCTAGGTTGTGGGTTCATTTCCTGGGCAGGGCACCTACAGAAGGTAATTAGGCAACTGATTAATGTTTTAATGTTTTTCTCTCACATCCATGTTTCTCTGTCTCTCTCTCATTCTCTCTCTCTCTTTTTCTCTCTCTCTCCCTCCCTCCCTCCTTCTCTTTTCTGCTCTCTTTAAAATCAATAAAAAGGCATATCTTTGGGCGAGGATAAAAATTATATATAATAAAACAAATTTCAGATTCAAAACCCAAAAGAACTTGGAACAATTTTTGGCTTATCACTAAATAACCCCTAATTCAAAGTCATTTAACTTATCAGAGTATTAATTTTCTCCTTTCTTAGGATAGGAATAATAGTCCTTACATATCTCATAGAGTTATTACATGGTCATAAGGTATGAAATTGAGTAATAAACTGTGTATAAGTAGTATTTCAAAAAGTTGTTCTTTGTTAAAATAGGTCAGTGATTTTTAACCAGTGTGCCACAAGAACTTTTAAAACATGCAATACCTGATTAGTCAGGCCACTGACCTCTTTTCCATTAGACTGTCAAATAAAAAAAAAATGACAACAGCCAACACAACGCTAGCTGTTGGTGTAAATGCTGTCTTGAACCATAAATATGTAAGTCATATAATGGAGTTGCATCTTACTGGTTCTACCACATAATAAGGTTGCTTCTGGTTGATTAATTTTTGGTACCAGAAAGCCTTATATACAAGAATAGGCACATGATTTTTTAAAAAGTAATTTTGGCCCCAGCTGGTGTGGCTCAGTGGACTGAGCACCAGCCTGTGAATCAAAGGGTCGCTGGTTCGATTCCTAGTCAGGGCACATGCCTGGGTTGCAGGCTGGGTCCCCCATATGGGACACACCAGAGGCAACCACACATTGATGTTTGTCTCCTTCTCTTTCTCCCTCCCTTTCCCTCTGTCTAAGAATAAATAAATAAAATCTTTTTTTTTTTTTTTAAGTAATTTTGGAGCAAAAAGGATAAGTAATTAAATTACTATTATTTTTATAAATTAATCAAAATTATACCTAGTTTTTCTTGTTTTTGGTGTGCCACAGAATTTTAGTAATTAGTTTATGTGCTGTGAGATGAAAAAGGTTGAAAATTACTGAAATAGAGCAATTGAAAAAGAATCAGGGTCGGGGGAGGTTGAAGAGGGTAAAAGGGGTCAAATATATGGTGATGGAAGGAGACTAAATTTTGGGTGGTGGGCACACAATGCACTATAGAGATGATGTACTTGGGTTTCTTCAGATATATATACAGAAGTAGAATTCCTGGGTCATAGGGCAGCCCCATTTTTAATCTTTTAAGGATCCTCTATACTGCTAGCCACAGTGGCTGCACTAATCTGCATTCCCATCAACAGTGCACAAGGGTTCCCTTTTCTCTATATTCTCACCAGCACTTGTTTTGTGTGGATTTATTGATGATAGCCATTTTGACTCGTGTGAGGTGTTATCTCATTGTGGTTTTAATTTGCCTTTCTCTGATGATTAGTGATGTTGAACATCTTTTTAAGTCTATTGGCAATCTGTATGTCCTCTTTGGAGAAGTGTATGTTCCAGTCCTCTGCTCATTGTTTAGTTGGATTGTTTGTTTTGTGTTCAGTTGTATGATTTTTTTATAAATTTTGGAAATTAGCTCCTTATCAGATGTATCATTGACAAATATGTTCTTCCGTTCTGTGGGTTGTCTTTTATTTTGTTATTTCCTTTGCTGTGCCAAAACTTTCTAGTTTGATGCAGTCCCATTTATTTTTTCTTTTGTTTCCCTTGCTGGAGGAGATATATCAGAAAAAAAGTATTACTAAGAAATGACCGAGATTTTATGGCTTATGTTTTCTTCTAGGAGTTTTATGGTTTTGAGTCTTGCATTTAAGACTTTAATCTGTTTCGACTTTATTCTCATATATGGTGTAAGAAGGTGGTTTAGTTTCATTTTTGCACATATCCATCCAATTTTCTCAATACCACTTATTGGATAGACTTTCTTTACTCTATTGTATGTTCTTGCCTCCTTTGTCAAATATTAGTTGACCATATAGGTGTGTGTTTATTTCTGGGCTGTCCTGTTCCATTTATCTATATGTCTTTTTATGTCGGTACCATTGTTTTGTTTTATTTACTGCTGTGGCCTTGTATATTGTAGTTTGATATCAGGTAGCGTGATTCCTTTAATTATAGTCTTTTTTTTCTCAAGATTTTTCTATTTGGGGGTCTTTTGTAGTTTCTTATAAAATTTTAGATTATTTTATCTAGTTCTATTAAATATGCCATTGTTATTTCTATAGGAATTGCTTTGAATCTGTAGATGGCTTTGATCTATAGATGTATGAACATTTTCACAATGTTAATTTTTTTATCTGTGAGGAAGATATATGCTTCCATTTATTTATATCTATCTTCTTCAATTTCTTTCTTCAGTGTTTTATAATTTTTTATTGCCTCCTTGGTTAAATTTATTCCTAGATATATTACTGTATTCCTAAGTATTATTTATTTTTTTACACAATTGTAAATAGGATTGTTTTCTTAGTTTTCCTTTCTTTTTTTTTTTTTTTTTTAAGATTTTATTTATTTATCTTTAAAGGGGAAGGGAAGGAGAGAGGGAGAGAAACATCAATGTATGGTTGCCTTTTGTGCATCCCCTGCTGGGAACTGGCCTGCAGGGAACCAGCCTGCAACCCAGGTATATGCCCTGACTGGGAATCAAACCGCGATCCTTTGATTCGCAGGCCTGTGCTCAATCCACTGAGCTACACCAGCCAGGGCCTTAGTTTTCCTTTCTGATAGTTTGTTATGTATTGGTGTATGAAAGTGCAACTGATTTGGGGTATTTATTTTGTATCTTCCTACTTTACTGAATTTGTTAGTTCTAGGAGTTTTTTGGTGGACTCTTTAGGGATCTCTATATACAGTGACATGTCATCTGCATATAATGACAGTTTTACTTCTTTTTTACAATTTGGATGCCTTTATTTCTTCTTGTCTTATTGCTATGGCTAGGACTTCCAATACTGTGTTTACTAAGATTGGTGAAAGTGAACATCCCTGTCTTGTTCCTGATATTAAGAGAAATGCTTTTAGTTCTTCCCTGTTGAGTATGATGTTAGCTGTGGGTTTGTCACATATGGCCTTTATTATGTTGATGTAAAAACAACATAAATTAGATATCTGGACTTTTGGCCAAGATGGATGCATAGGTAGATACACTGTGCCTCCTCCCACAACCAAAAGAAGGACGTAACAAATTTAAAAACAAAAACAACCAGAACTGACAGAAAATCAAACTGTGTGGAAGTCTGACAGTCAAGGAGTTAAAGAAGAAATATTCATCTAGACCAGTAGGAGGGGCGGAGACAGGCAGTCAGGTGGAGAAAACTCTCAGCAAGGTGGCAGCTGGTAGACACGGTGAGGCAGCAAATTGCGGACGGGACAGTCCCACATTCACATGCAGATAAACTGAGAAGAACAACTGGGGAGTGAGATAGATCAGCAACCCAGGGTTCCAGTGCAGGGAAATAGAACCTCAAGGCCTCTGACTGAAAATACCTAAGAGGATTAAGGTGGCAGTGGAAGAAACTCCCAGCCTCACAGGAGAGTTTGCTGAGAGACCCACAGGGTCCTAGAACAAACCTGCCCATCTGGGAAACAGGTGCACTGAGACAAAAAAAAAAAAAAAAAATGCCTAAATGAAAACAGATCAAAGCTCCAGAAAAAATATAACTAAGTGACAAAGAGATAACCAATCTGTCAGATGCATAGTTTAAAGCATTGATAATCAGGATGCTCACAGAATTGGTGGAATTTGGTTGCAAATTAGAGGAGAAATGAAGGCTGTGGTAAGTGAAATAAAGGAAAATGTACAGGGAACAAATAGTGACAGGAAGGAAACTGGGACTCAAATCAATGATGCAGACCAGAAGGAAGAAAGAAACATCCAACCAGAACAGAATAAAGAAAACAAGAATTCAAAAAAATGAGGAGAAGCTTAGGAACCGCCAGGACATGTTTAAACATTCCAACATCTGAATCGTAGGGGTACCAGAAGGAGAAGAGGAAGACCAAGAAATTTAAACTTATTTGAACAAATAATGAAAGAGAAAGTTCTCTTCCTGGAAATAGACTTCCAGGAAGCTCAGAGAGTCCCAAAGAAGTTGAACCCAAGGAGGAACACACCAAGGCACATCATAATTACATTACCCAAGATTAAAATGAAGGAGATAATTCTAGAAGCAGCAAGAGATAAGGAGACAGTCACCTACAAAATAGTGTTCATCAGACTTTCAGTTGATTTCTCAAAGGAAACCTTGCAGGCAAGAAGAGGCTGGAAAGAAGTATTCCAAGTCATGAAAGGCAAGGACTTACATCCAAGATTGCTCTATCCAGCAAAGCTCTCATTTAGAATGAAAAGGCAGATAAAGTGCTTCCCAGACAATGTAAAGTTAAAGGAATTCATCATCACCAAACCCTTATTATATGAAATGTTAAAGGGACTTGTCTAAGAAAAGGAAGGTGATAAAAAATATGAACAGTAAAATGACAACAAACTCACAGTTATTAACAACTGAACCTAAAACAAAAACTAAGCAAACAACTAGAACAGGAACAGAATCACAGAAATGGAGATCACATGGAGAGTTATAATTGGGAGGGGGAAAAGATACAGAGAATAAGTAGCATAAACGGTAGGTAGAAAATAGACAGGGGAGGTTAAGAATAGTATAGGAAATGTAGAAGCCAAAGAACTTATATGTATGACCCATGAACATGAACTAAAGTGGGGAATGCAGGTGTGGGGGGATGTGCAGGGCAGAGGGGAATAAAGGGGGGGGAAATGGGACAACTGTAATAGCATAATTAATAAAATATATTTTAGAAAAACATAATACCATAGTGTTCTAATTAAAAATTGCAGATATTCATTAATCTTTATTTTCTTTTTTAGGGTATTCCAAGCAGAATCTCATACGAAAATAGTGAGAAAGTCAGAAATTGCAGGTAATATAATAATGCAATCTCTGCTAATTCTGCATTTTATGAAATTTTACTATGGATAGCCCTGGCTGGTATAGCTCAGTGGATTGAAATGTGGGCTGCGAACCAAAGGGTTGCCGGTTCAATTCTCAGTCAGGGCACATGCCTGGCTTGTCGGTTGGGTCCCCAGTAGGGGGCACACCAGACAACCATATATTGATATGTCTCTCCCTCTCTTTCTCCCTCCCTCCCCCTCTTTCTAACAATGAATAAATAAAATCTTTTAAAAAATTTACTGTGGGTATCTAACCCGATAATTGATATAACATTGTTTATTTTATTGATAAAACAGTATAACTTGAGGCATGGGGGGACAGTTTTTTAAATTGGTGTTAATGTCCTTATGCAATTGTTCTAATGCTTTATCAGTTTATCCTTGAAAATTTTTCAATTTTATTTCATTTTTAGAAACAGAAGCAAGAGAAAATGTTCTGTTTATGCAGTAAGTAAAGAAAATATGATTCAAATTATATTTTAAAAGTTGTTTAGTCCCAGTACATAAAGGGATTTTTAAATTAATATCCTTTTTGTTTTTTAGTTTTGTGTCCCTTTTGAGGAATATTTAGGATTAAAGAAACACTTTTTTTTTTGCAAATTTAATAGACTTATATCTGATAAGTATGTGTATTTGTAAGCTTATTTTAACAGTGATGAAACACTCTTTCATTTTTAAATCCTTTAAATATATAAGCTAGTGTAAAGGAAGAAATATTAATCTAGAGATTTTTTAAATGAAATTTATTTTTATAATGTTAATACATAAGAAAGTAAATGCCAGTAGCTCTTGAACAAATGAAAAGATACTTATCTTTAAAACTTAAGACCAGATTGATTGAGATATAATTTTTCATTCAATCTATTATTGCTAATCACTTATTGCTAGTGGGAATAAATTGTAGAAGGTAATTGACATTATTATTCAGTGTTGTGATTCTTGTTAACTGTTTGAGGTACAGTTTTTTAAAACACTTTTTAAATTTTAGGAATAATAATTCAGAAGATAATTACTGTGAGATTATTGGTGAGTATGATCAAAATACTTTTATTACATACCTTTCTTTTTATCCAGATACCTTGATAAATAATAGCTAAAAGTAGCATGAAAAAGAAAGTGTGAAGAGAGCTGTGTGATTTACACAAAATTTTCAATTTTAAATTTCACATATTTATTTCTTTCAAATCTGCTCTTCTCGTTTTCTCTATCTTAGACTCCCACTCATTTATTTACTCAAATCATGCATTGAGCCATTTTTTTAAATTTTTAAAAATTTTGCTTCATTCCCTATACCTATTTGGCCCCACTCTCTGTCCTGTCTTCTGAATATCTTGCAAATCTTTTATTTTTCTACATGCCTTCTTGCCATTGTTTTAATTTAAGTTCCTATTATTCTTTCTTGGGCTATTGTATTTTGTTTCTTATCTTTCTAATCTATTTTATGTATTTCTCAATCAGATAATAATACCTTCTGGCTTAAAATTACTTAATGATACTCTTTTGCTTCCAGGATAAAACCCATACTCCTCAGTATAGACTTAGAAAGGATTTGGCTTGCCATCTTCTCCAACCTTATTTTCTTTTATTTATAGATGTCCTTTCCTCTAGCCCATGAAGAATTATTTGAAGTTCCCCATGTGAACTTTTTTCTGCCTGTATTCATTGAAAATGCTATTTCCTATACCTAATAGTGCTTTTCCTACTACAATTTGCCTAGCAGTCTTGTCATTTTTTACTCAGCTTAATTTCAGTGCTATTCAGAGTAACCAGTCTGCCCTCACTTGTGTGGCTCATTTGGTTGGAGCATCGTCCCATAACTGAAGGGTTGTGAGTTTGATTCCTTTTCAGGGCACGTGAGAGATTGCAGGTTTGTTCCCCTGGCCAAGAGTCAATGATCCCAGGTCTGGGTATATGCAGGGAGACAACTGATCAATGTTTCTTTCACATTGATGTTTCTCTCTCTCTCTCCCTTATTCTCTCTCTGAAAGCAATTTAAAAATGTCCTCATGTGAAGATAAAACAAAACACAACAAACAAAGAACAGAGCAACCAGTCCACAAACTGTTACAGTCCATGAGAGAAGAACTTTCACTGGACTGTAAATCAGCTGTGGCAGTAAGCTACTGTTTAGTTTAGGTGACATTTTTTCCTAATAAAGCTTACTTGATGAAGGAAATACTATGTAATTTACATTAGCTGCAAGATCTCTGAACCAGCTGTTCACAGACTGACACCATACACTGAGTAATACTGGCTTAAATGGAGTCTCTCTTCAAGACCAAGAAGTTAGTCACTGTGTCCTGTGCTGTCATAGCACTCCTTTTATTTCACAGTCTGTTGTAAAATTTATCACATTGTAGTTTGGTATTTACTTCTGGCTCTTGTTAAATTAGAAACTCTGAGTTCAGAAAGTTTGTCTTTTCCTTTGTATTTTAGTAAATACTTGTTTGGGGACACATAATATATGGTTGTGAAGCAATATTTCTTGAATAAATTAGTGGAAACTTGATAAATAAATAAGGCTCCTAATAAAAAGCCTGTAACTCATCATCATGTTTAATCAAGGTTGCTGTAAACTCTTTAAAAAAAATGTTCTAAAGATATGCCTTTAAACTTAAGTATTTTTAAATGTATTTTCTTTTTTTATTATACCATCTTCAATCCTGTATTTTTAAAGTCCAATTTGTTACCTAAACCTTTATATTTTAATTCTAGAATGTCTTGCATCTAATTCTTTATTTCCATTTTCATTGGGTCTTGCCCTAACAAATTCTTATTGTGTTATATCTGAACTATTACAGTAGTTTCCTTATTGGTTCATCTTCTCTTGAATCTACTTTCTTCTCTGGAATTTTTTAAAAGACTTTATTTATTTATTTTTAGACAGAGGGAAAGAGAGGGAGAAAGAGAGGGAAAAACACATTGTGTGGTGGCCCCTCAAGCACCCCCTACTGGGGACTTGGCCCACAACCAAGGCATGTGCCCTAGACTGGGAATCGAACCAGCAACCCTTTGGTTTGCAGTCTGGTGCTCAATCCTCTGAGCCACACCAACCAGGGCTAGAACTTTTTTTTATTGTTGTTCATTTACATTCATCCCCATTTTCCCCTCATTACTCTCCCCCACCTCACCCACCTCCAACTCTCACATTCAGTCCTCCCCCACTCATTGTCTTTGTCCTTATTCCTTTATACATGTTCCTTGACAACCCCTTCTTTCCCTGTTGTACCCCTCTTCCCTCCCTTCTGGTTACTGTCAGTTTGTTCTTTATTTCCATGTCTCTGATTCTGTTTGGCTCACTTCTTTGTTTTGTTGATTAGGTTCCACTTATAGGTGAGATCATATGGTATTTGTCTTTCACCCCCTGGTTTATTTCATTTAGCATAATGCTCTCCAGTTCCAGCCATGCTTTTGTGGAGGATAGGAGTTCTTTCTGCTGTGTAGTATTTCATTGTGTAAATGTACCAGTTTTTTGATCCACTTATTCTGTTTCCAATGCTTGGCTTTTGTAAATTGCTGTTATGAACATTGGGGTGCATAGGTTCTTTTGAATGAGTGTTTCAGGATTCTTAGGGAATAATTACAGCAGTGGAATTGCTGCATTGAAAGGCAGTTCCATTTTTACTTTTTTGAGGAAATTCCATACTGTTTTTCACAGTGGCTGTACCAATCTGCATTGCCACCAACAGTGTACTAGGGTTCCCTTTTCTGTACAACCTTGCAAGCACTTGTTTGTTAATTTGCTTACTACAGCCATTCTGACCAGTGTGAAGTGGTATCTCATTGTCGTTTTAATTTGTATCTTTGTGATGGCTAGAGATGCTGAGCATCCTTTTATATGTACACTGGGCCCCTTTGGAGCAGTGTCTGTTCAGGTCTTTGCCCATTTTTTAAATTGGATTCTTTGTGTTCCTGATGTGGAGTCATGTGAGTTCTTTATATATTTTGGAGATAAAACCCTTATCAGAGGTATCATTGGCAAATAATTTTTCCCATACGGTTGATTTCTTTTTGCTGATATTTTGTTTAACCATGCAGAAGCTTTTTAATTTATTGTAGTCCCATTTATTTATTCTTTTCTTTATGTGACTTGCTCTAGGGACATAATGATAAGAATATTATTGAATGAAATATCTGAAATTTTCCTGCCTATATTGTTAGGATTTTTATGGTGTTACAACATTTATTTAAGTCTTTTGTCTGTCTTGTGGTTATTTTTGTGTATGGTGTAAATTGGTGGTCGAGTTTCATTTTTTTGCATATGGTTGTCCAGATCCCCCAACACCATTTGTTGAAGAGGCTATTTTTACCCAACTTTATGCTTCTGCCCCCTTTGTTGAATATTAATTGACCATAGAGACCTGGGTTTATTTCTGGGCTTTTAATTCTGTTCCATTGATCTATGTGTCTGTTTTCTTATGCCCGTACAAGATTGTTTTGATTACAGCAGTTTGATATCAGGTATTGTGATCCCTCCAACTTTGTTCTTTCTCGAAATTACTGAGGTTATTCGGGGTCATTTATGGTTCTATATAAATTTTTGAAATGTTTGTTCTACGTCTATGAAATATGTTATTGGTATTTTAATAGGGATTGTGTTGAATCTATAAATTGCTTTGGGTAATATGGACATTTTGATGATGTTAATTATTCCAATCCATGAACACAGTATATGCTTCCATTTATTTGTGTCTCTCTTAATTTCTTTCTTCACTGTTATGTAGTTTTCTGGGTACAGGTCTTTTACTTTCTTGGTTGGGTTTATTCCTAGTTACTTTAGTTTTCATGTTGCAATAGCAAATGAGATTTCTTCCTGATTTCTGTTTCTGATATTTCATTGCTGGTGTACAAAAATGTCTTAAATTTCTGAATACTGACTTTGTATCCCACTGTTTTGCCAAATTCACTTATTACGTCAAGTAGTTTTTTGGTGAAGTCTTGAGGGTTTCTGTTTACACCATCGTCATCTACAAACAATGACAATTTTATTTCCTCCTTTAAAATTCGGGTGCCTTTTTTTTTTTTCTTGTCTGATCATTGTGGCTAGGACTTCCAATACTGTGTTGAAGAGAAATGGTGAAAGTGGACATCCTTGTCTTGTTCCTGATCTTAGTGGGAAAGCTTTTAGTTTTTGCCCATTGAGTATGATGTTGGCTGTAGGGTTTTCATATATTGCCTTTATTATGTTGAGGTATGCTTCTTCTACTCCCACTTTGCTGAGTGTTTTTATCATAAATGGGTACTATAACTTATCGAATCCTTTTTCCACATCTATTGATTTGATCATGTGATTTTTGTGTTTCGTTTTATGTGATGTATTACATTTATTGATTTGTGAATATTGTACCATCCTTGCATCTCTGGAATGTATCCCACTTGATCATGGTGTATGATCTTTTTAATGTATTGCTGGATACAATTTGCCAATTTTTTGTTGAGGATTTTAGCATCTATGTTCATCAGCAATAGTGGCCAGTAATTTTCTTTCTTTGTTGTGTCTTTATCTGGTTTGGGGATTGGGATGATGCTGGCCTCACAAAATAAGAGTTTGGGAATCTTCCCTCTTCTTAGATATTTTGGAAAAGTCTGAGAAGGATAGGCATTAGCTCTTCCTTAAATGTTTTGTAAAATCCTCCTGTGAAACTGTCTGGTCCAGGGCTTTTGTGTGCTGGGAGTTTTTTCATTACTGCTTCAATATCACCAGCTGTTATTGGTCTGTTTGGGCTTTCTGCTGTTTCTTGATACAATTTTGGAAGACTGTATGTTTCTAGAGACTTGTCCATTTCACCCAGGTTTTCAAATTTCTTGGCATATATTTGTTTGTAGTAATTTCTTATAATCCTTTGCATTTATGTGATAACAGTTGTAATTTCTCCTATTTCAGTTCTATTTTATTTGTTTGAGTTCTCTCCTTTTTTATCTCGGTAAGTCTCATTAAAGGCTTGTCAATTTTGTTTATCTTTTCAAAGAACAAGCTCCTGAGTTTATCGATCTTTTGAATTGCTCTTTTAGTCTCTATGTTATTT